CTGCCGGTGGTAAAGTTATGCTTAGTAATCAGATTCTGCGGTTGGGATCTGTCTTTAACGATTTCTTTTCTAATAACGTATTTATGAAAATAAAAAATAAAAATAAATTGACATAAAACTTTAAAACTACCTTCTAGACGATGTGATCGCAAAAAATCACTTACGAAGCAAAGTTTTAAGTCAGTCACAAAATCAATGTGTTCAGGTCCTAAGAACAAAAAAACAGTTGTAATCCCCTCGGGGGGAGCGTACTAAAAATGGATTAAACAACCGGCGAGTTGGCTCCTAAGTGAAACCTACTAATTAAATCACATATGTGAACCGACCAACAGGCGTCCTGTTGGGCCCGGAAAGATTTCGTGCCATAAAAACGCCCTCTTTAACGATCATCAAATGTTGTTTGTGCCACGAATTCTTTTAAGAAGAGACCTTCATCAAGGAAATTGACAACGGAATGAACGAGTATCGTTAAGGGTCATTCTTATTCACTGGCGTCCAAAACTTTGTTCTTAAGATAGTTGTCTGGTATTAGCAAAATAATTCCCACGCTGATACAGGTGCGTGCTTGTCCAGGGTGGAATAGCAAATTCAAAAGATAAAATACCATCAAATAGAACTAAACCCCTCCAATTTACTGGACTCCTATGTTCGTCAAAGATCATGTTTGGTTAAAGCAAGAGCACTGAGAATGCCCCCGTCATGACTTTACGGGGGTCGTGTGCGTATGAAGTTTTCCTCACCTTTTTCTCGTTTAAATAAAAGGAGTTATTCTGAACACGAACCTAACTACAGTAGAGGTAAAACTGGGCAGATTGTCAATTATGGCTAATATGTGAAGCTGAAACTGAACCGAACGTAGGAATCATTGATCAAACAACAAAACAATTCTTGGAAAAAAAACAAAATATCAGGTATCATTTAAACCTTTCATTAATTATTCATATCAGTTACTTTTCCTTTACAAACGTTCTTAATAAACTTAGCCGGAGCCAAACCAGCCGCTCCCCTTTTTTTGGTTATCCTTCAAGTTTTCAATAAGTAATATGTTAGGTGTTGTTCTAGGAAAGAATGCAGATTAAAAATCCACAAATAATGAGGAGTAAAAGCTAAACTTTGTTGGAAACGTCAGTAAATCTGAACAGTTTCACTTTCATTTCTTCCTTAAAATTTTCGAGCATCCTTTGTTTTTCTGGTAGGTTAATGAAATGGTAACTTATTATTTCTCCCTTGAAAAGGCTGATCTGACAACTATTGGCAATGTAGGAATGGGTGAATTGAATTTTATTCTTAATCTTGTATCTTATGGAGACGTTTTCTTTGATATTATTGGGGGTAATGTGGTCGAGTGGTTGAGGCTCTGGGCTTGTAATCCCGTTTGCACCGATTTCAACTTTTTGGCTGCACTTTGTATATAGCCAACTAGTCTGCCTCATGTCAGTTAGGATTTTTAAACGCTATGTTTATTTACAATATGTGTTTCTAATTTGTTTGTATCGGCTCTGAAAACAGTCTCATCGGGGGAGTGATCAATTAGGCATACACCACTGACAGTACATTATATTTTCCTTTGAGAAATGTCTCCGTTTTAGTCAGTCCTTAGTATAATGGAAAATAAGCTGGAAATGAAAAACTATTAAAAAGTTGCAGTTTCCCGGCCTTTCTTCAATGACGATCTTAATGTGGATCTCTTTCCAGTTTTTTTTTTCCAGCCGAATCATTTTAAATTTTACCTGAAGTTCAATATCGTTAAAGAGCTGAATTTTGCCAATAGCGACGTATGCAAATTGAAAAGAAAAGACGGGTGTCAACTGACTGTTTACGAAAGAATATGATAAAAATCATGTACACGATTTAAAATGATCAGTTTTACTCACTATACTTAAACAAGTAGTCTTGTTAGGGACATTACACTTTTACAATTACCATCCAACTCTTGAACTTTTTCCTTAAAAATTATTCCCTTTACGAATTACGAAAATGTAAGGGAAAATGTAACTTCTAACTGATCAGCAACAAAGACCTCTGGAATAGAATATTTAAATCAATTATTTCTCGGTTCTCTTGGGTATATACAAGCTTAGCCTTGAGATGAAACTAGTGTGTCTATATATATAGGGTTTACAGTCAAGTCGCCCAGAGTCATCTCGCCCGAAGTCATGTCGCCCGAAACCTGAGTCATGTTGTCCGAAATTTTAGTTATGTCGCCCGAAAAAAAAGTCAAGTCGCCTAAAGAAGCAAATACTAAAAAGATCAGAATTTTAGACTGTTAATAGGCAATAACATTGAGAAATTTTTCATCACTAAAGCGCTCTTTGTTTCTGACAACACCATGAAGATTCTTAAAGCGTTGTTCGTTCCTAACAACAAAGGGAAACGTTGTTCGTTTCCAATTACAGAATACAGCATTGTTCGTTTGGTATGTGATCGTTTCTTACTCACGGACGTTTCGTAAGCTTGAGAAACTTTTTCTTGGTTTTTAACAATACCATGAATATATTTGAGTAACGATTCTAATAGCGTGGTTCGTTTCTAACAACAAAGGGGGAAGCGTTCTCCGTTTCAAACAAAAAAATGAAGCGTTGTTCGTTTGGTATGTACTCGTTTCTTGACTTGACCGGTTACCTATATATAGAAATCACCTCACATGAGGTGAATAACGAACTAAATGGCTGCTTGATATTTGATTTTTGACGAACTAGAAAACTGGCCGAGTTAATTGCGCTCAAAACCTGCTGGGGACTTTTCGAGTCCGTTACACATCTAGCGAAGATCGAAAAAGATTGAAAACAGTTTATGGCGGGCACGTAATGAGTTTGGTTTTAAATCTCAACGTCAAGGAAACTTAGACTGCTCAACAAATAGACTCGAAACGAATTCCGTTTAAAACTTGGAATCCATCCTGTACAAAGTTTACGTATTTCAAGTACCCTCAGTCCGATGTTTGAAACCTCCTTGAGTTTTCGTACCTTTCTCATAACTAAAATAGTGGACCAGACACTGTACTTGAATGACAGTAATCTTAAAACAAGAGCTCAGGCTTACCTTCGTCAAAATTCCCTGTGATTGAATGCTCTTCAATGAGTGTCCTTCACTCCAATTAGTCTCAATTCAGATTTTCGTTGCTGGCCAGGTTAGTTTTTTGTCAAGAGAATTTATGCTTTCTACTCAACGTCCATACTCTTTGCCTGTTTTTATTTGATTTCCGTCCGCCGAGATTGCCTTTCAATCACATATGACAGTTTTCCCAAACCCTGGAGCTCTTTCATCAGTTTTGTAAACGAAAGATGTTTGGTTTGATAAATTAATTCACAGCCTCAGTAATTATATGAAATGAAATGTCGGAAATGTCTTGAAAGGCGAAATGAAAATTCAGAAACTTGGGAAACCAGTCAGAAAAGTGGATAAATAAAACGTGAATGCGATGTGACAAGTTGTTTCCATTTCTTTCCCTCAACGCAGTTGTCGAATTTTTATTAAGACACTATGTAATTTGATTCATTAAAGCATTGACCTAGTACTAACAATGTTTCTTTGGCTCTACCAATAAGTAACGTTGGAAATTTTTGTTGTTTTCTTCACAATAAAACATCAATATTTTGATTGAATTTTGCCCGTGAAGCAGTGAAGCAGTGATGATTTTTTTAAATTTTATATTACACTGAACTTAGATGGTTACCTACACTGGTGGTTGGTCACTTGAAGTGGAAATAAAAATGGATGGTGCGATTAAACCGAGATAATTTCTGCGAAGTGTTTTCCTCTCGATAGTTAGGAACTAATTTTACCTGACAAACAAGTATACCAACATGCATTTGCATTGATCACTTTATTTTTATTAGCCTGCATCCGATGTGACTGACATTTTAGTTATTATTTCATGTTGTCCTGATTGGTCATATTTTCTCACCTTAAATTAAACTAAGGAAAATAACAATTTATTGTGACCAGCAGAATATCATTAGTTGTGGAGTGCAATCTCATGTCCAACACCTGCATTTTAACAAAACAACTGCCTTTTGAGGGTTCAGGCTCGATTCAATTAATTTTTAATAATCTTTTGTTTTTTAGCGATAAGACCTTATTTATTTATTTTTGCGTCGGTGATTGAAAAAACTGAATGAAGAATTTTTTATCAGTTCCATAATTGCATCCTTTTGCTTCTTTCAATAAACTCCACTTCCCCTTTTATTAATATCATTCAAAAACTCAGGACGAGTTTTCCAGCAAATGGAAGAAATATCATACTAAAAAATACCATACTCTTGTGCATGGAGGAATTAAAATGACGTCCCATGAAATAAAGGTTATCAGAAATGTGAGGTATCCCTAAAAATCCGGCGGGAATTTGACATAATAACATCAGCTGGGGGTAAATTACCGATCGAACCTTTATTTTTAGGGAAATGGTACGTTTAATTTCATTTCGTTAGAAATCATTCATCACACAAAAGGCTATCGATCGAGCAATTTTATTCTCAAAGTACGGAAAAGAATTAAAAAAAGGCCGCTGACTTGGATAACGGACAGGTGTTAAAATGTTTGATTACCACACCACTTTTCGTCACAACTTCGGAGGTTTTTTTTCCAAGAGACCGACCCGACGCTGGTTGAATAAATTCGTGATAAATATAGGGGAGGACAGTTATTATTCGTCGCCTGGGGGCAGAGGGGGTCGTAGATTTTGTTAGAGGGGAGAATCACATGGTTATCAGAGAAAACAGAGGGGGATCAGACATCACCAGCAGAGTATAAATGGGGAACTATAAAAAATTGACTGCAAATTAACTGCCGATGAGGGGTAGGGGGGTGGGGAGGTTAAAACATTACTGAACTTTAAGGCGGGATCAAGTTAATTTTATCGTGACAATTAAAATCACCCAACCTCCCCCCCTCCCCTCTGCGCGCCGGCGATACACAATGACTGATCACTAAAGATGATTCTCAAAATGTCACTAAGACCTCAATTACTAAGTGATTGGACGGGTTGGGAATAACAGATCCACACAAACACAAATCCCTTCACTTTCAACGTTTAATAGGCGTTCTCTTTTCCCCTACTACAATGATTAGTCTGATACTTCTTGTCCGATAGAAGGCCTCTTGCTTTCTTAAGTACATGCACACAAATCCCCTGGACAGTTTCCCCGGGCACAGTTTTCATTACACCATTTATCCATGCCTGCATTCCCTTGCCACGCCCCTATAGCATGGCAAGATCCAGATGGAGGTCCACCTGTAGGAGGCCCAGCAGAAGGGGGCTGGGTACTAGGTTCTGGCCATGGGGAGGGGATGGGAGGTCTTGTTCCCCCGCCTCCTCCCCCTAATGCTTGCTTGACGGCATTCATCAGAGGATACCTTAGTGAGACAGGGTTGAAGTCAGTGGATAATTAATGAAATAAACAGACTGCTCTCAATTTGACTTACAGCATGGGACATGTTCAAAGCTTTCTGGACGAAGCAAAAGAAGAAAGAAATCGCTCAGTTATTTCATAGCTTGACTTACGTACCAACTTGGAACATTAGAAAACTGCTGAGTCGTAACATCACAATTCACAATTCGACAACCTCTCGAGTTAGACAAGGCACAACAATTTCTGTTAAAACTATTCTACTAGACTACATTTTATCACATTAAATGTTCGAAGTGCACAACTGCGAAATTTTTTTGTTTGTTAAAGAAATCAAAGAAAAAAGTAACGTCGTATTTTTACCTCCCTTTTTTGCAAAAAGAACCCTTGAAATCATCCAGATCCAGCGCCCAGAACATGGCACCCAGCAGATTTTTTTCTTTAATGACAGAGTTCACTTTCAGTGTCAAACTCATCTCATCATCGTACCCCACCCACTGGTCTCCTTTGTATCCATACGGGGCTTTCACTGTGTTGTCCTGTACCACGGTCAGACCCATTGTACAAATCTCGTAATAGGACAGGAATCCCCCTTCTCTGGTGTATTTCCCTGGGGTAGCCTTTCCACTGGCCGAAGCTCCCAGTCCATTCTTATTCGGATTGACAAGCTTAAATGCTCGGCCATAAGTTCCTAATCCTAGAGCGATTTTCTTACACGGCATACCCTGAGTAATAATAGGAACAAGTCTAAGAGTGCAAAGGTACGAGTAATTAGACTGAACAAATCAGTACAGGACAGAACAACCTGAGCAATCGTATGGAAACAAATGTACAACAAATAAGCATCAAAGTGAAACTCTTCGATTGCAAAAAACTGACAAACTAACAAGTTAATTTCAAGAAAGTTTCAACACCTCAGTGGATTTCGATACTTCGAAGAATCACTGACTAAAGCGATCCTGTAACTGAGATTTCAGTGTCTAAAAGTTATCACGAAAAAATACAACCTAAATCAGAAAACGATGTCTAATTCTCTGATTAATGACATGCTTCCTTGTTAAAATCAAACATTACCTTATCCATCCAATATTGCACTGCGTGGGAGACTGTAAGTTTATCACCTGTGGGACCCTCCAAAGCAGTGTGATGCCCTGTCTGGGAATCCCAGCTTCCATGAAGATCGTATGCCATCAGGTTGATAAAGTCTAAAATGCCAGCTAATTTGCTGATCTCGTATGCCTTGTCAATTGTTGCATAACCAGCGGCTACGGCGGCTGTTAGCAGAAGTCGTGGCTTTCCGCTCTCAGCTGACTCTTTCTTAAAAGCAGTGAGCAGTTCTTGGCAAAGGATTGTGAAGAGTTGTTTGTCCTCAGGTGGAGAGTTGCCACGATTTCCAGGATACTGAGCCAGATGAAGGCCAAGGCGATGTAGCTTCGTCGCTTGGTCATGATCAGCGGATAGCGCAAAGAACACATGATCGCTATAAAGCGATCGGCAGTCACCGCTAAAATGTGCGAGAGGGTCAGAAATGACGTGAACATCCAGATGTAAACTGAAGCAAAACACGGGCCATGCTCTTGAAAAATGTTGCACGTAATGCTCAATGGCAAAGTGATGAACCCGTTGAGAAGATCACTGGCCGCTAATCCGATGAGGAAAAAGTTCGTTGGGGTTCTGAGAGAGCGCCTCTTGGTTACAAGGATGAACACAAGTGAATTGATAAGGACAATGACGAAGGCCATGAACATACCAGGGAGGTCGTATTTCGCGACGAAACGAGGTGACCAGTCATCTTCATAGTCTTCGTGTCTTGGGGAATAGTTTTGACTTTGTCTCGACTCATTATGAGGAAGATTAGTTATGTTTTCCTCACGCATTATCCTGTGCAACACGAAGTCCTGCTTTTACTTCTGTAACTTAGAGTGAAAATGGCGGGCCAACAGCGCGATGAAAAAGCTAAAAGCAAACAACCGGAGCGTATTTGCATTAATTTATGAGATTAACATTCAATTATCTCCCAAGAGAGAAATTATTGTGATTCAATGAGCTGCAAAGCGCTCGTAAAAGAGTTTTAATTAAATCAGCACTACCACAATGTTTTTTATTAAGCTTAAGTGGACTAAATAAACTTGGGATGGATTTTTAGTTGTTTCACAGTCAGGACATTTTTACAATTTGATGAATTCGAGTGATTCGTTTTACTAAAAAACTTAAGTCGAATCAACAGGGTAATTAAGTGTTATCAACCGAGTTGATAACGTAAATTGGCCACCGTGAAGAATTTAAAAGCTGACGTTTTGAGCATGAGTTATTCGTCAAAGTGATCGGAGGAATTGTGGGTTGTGTGTGTGTTTATATGCAGAAAATGGAGCAACGCAATTGGTGGGAATATGGTGACGACAGAACAAGAATAAATTAGTTGAATGAAAAGCCATACCATGGGGATTAAAATTGCCGATTTGAAAGAAATATTTGTTCTAGATTTTTGCAGCTATCGGAACTGCCTATAGGTATAGAGAAAGGCCGCAAACTGCCATATGCCGCTTAGAATGATTGGGGAGATTAAAGTGTCTAGCGACTGGTTTGGATGCGACTTTGTCATTTCTTTCTGTCATTTCTTTCTTGTCAGTTCTTTCTTTCTACGTCGCTCGAAGGGCAAACGCTCGAAACGTCAGATTTTAAATTCTTTACGGAGGCCAATTTCCGTTATCAAGTCAGTTTATAATACCTAATTATCCTGTTATACTCTCCCACCGAAGCAGCACCAAATTTTCCTTAGGACCTCACCCCTCTATCAGAAGAATCGAGTTAAATCTGGGTAATTTAGTTCTATCAACTGAGTTGATAATTATCCCTTCGTCATTCGCCCTGATGATGATTTTAACGCAGCACCACATGCAGTTCCTTTAGAAACTCACCGCCTTTATTCAAATAAAATCAGACCTCTTTTCGCAAAAACTTCTCCGACTTACACATGGATCCTATCTTTATTTCTCAGCCATGAAAGCGGAGTATCCGGAGTAGAAGGAAACAAAAAAAGGTGAAATCTACCATTGAATTACTTAAAGTAGTTTTGTCCTGGAAACTCAGTTGCAGGCCGCAAGAAGCTTTCGTATCAGACGGAATCTAGATAACCGTTACGTGGACGATTCCGTGACCATCCACCGATAGACGATTACTACTCCAGGATTATTAGACATAAATGATAACCTGAGAAACTATTTCATGTTTGAATGTCACCTGTCTTTTGAAAGACATGTTTAAGCTTAAGCTCACGGTACTTTTCGTTATCCATTTGGACAAAATCGGTTCAGTCTTCATTTCAATGTTCGAGTTGATCACCAGTTATCAAAATGCACTAAGTATCTCCACCCAGCTGAAGTCTTTAACACGATCTGAATAAGACATTGAGAAGTCTTATTTCAGTCAATTTCTGTGGCCGATAGCAATAATACCATGATATCCTAAAAACGGGATATATCAATAATCGTAAATTAAAAAAAAAGAAACCTTTTATCGTTAATTTTTGTCGCCAAATTTGCCTCAGGATTCGAGTGTTTCTTGATTACAACATCATTTGAGAAACACGTATGTCTAAGCTAAAGGCTAAACTTTAAAAGAGATAGTAATAGTCATGTCCGATGTTGATGTTCACTGATTGATCTTTTCAAATCGTCCATAAAACAGCTGTCTTACTTGTCTACGCGATTGACTCTTTCCGTGACGGCCTTCCTTCCTTCACTAAGATCGAGATTTCAATCTCAATTTTTCCAAGGAGAGCATTTTTTGCAAATGTTTTTTTTGTTCCTAAATATGGCATTTATTGTTTCCACATTTTTCGTGCCTTTTTTCACGCGAAAAAAAAGCAACAATTTTGTTAGAGCAAATCCATTCGCAACTGAAAGTTGATCTGTAAGATGATTGACGAGAAATATTAAGTTCTCAAAAAACGGCAGATCTGACGTTTGACCTCTTTCCAAAGAAATCATATCATACTGAAAAAATGAATAATTTAATTCCACCTACTTTGTACGTTCCATTTATTCCAAGGCTGCTTGATTTTCTTCCGAAAAGCAACAGATTTTGCGCTTGTGATTCAAGCTGTGAGGCGACTCGGAAAGCTGGTCGCAGAAATGAACAAGTAGCACAAGCGGGTAAGTAATTGATAGCTGGAATATTTTCAGGCAGCGTTGTTGTTTTTTTAGTTTTTCTGTCTGTAACCCGAAGGTAACTTTCCTGCAAACATTTTAGCAGTAATTGAATAATGGAGCAGAATAGCGTCAGTAATAATATCATGGCCGCTTAGTTTGTTTTTAATGACCATATTTTGCAACTCAGACTGCAGATACTCACTGCTGGTGAGATGTCAGTTCATGCAAATCATCTTGCTTAAGGAATAGCTTTCCCTCTAATCTAACTATCTTTTTCCTTAGGCTGATATGGGACAAAAATACGAATAACTATTGGACTGACACTTGACGTAATCTAAAAAATAACACAAAGTGGTCTATTTGCCCGCAGAGGACAATCAAGAAAGCTTTTATGTTTGTTTTTAAAACAGCTTTTAAGGTGAAGGTAGCTCTTGTTATCGCGGAAATTTTAGCGAGCATGCGTAGCATTTGTTGTGGACATCGTGCTATGTTCGAGTCTTTAAAAAAAAAAAGGGGCTTCCTTGAACTCAAATTAGCCTTGTCTGCCGGTCAAAAACATAGAGCACTACTTTACTTTACTCCTCCTCCCTCGCAAACATTTTTAATCACGCTTGATTTGGCTCAGCCACGCACCAAACCCTACCTGAAGATATTAATTTGAATTTGGAAGAGGCGAAAAAAATCACGGCAAAATGAATGGTCAATGATATATTAATCTCACCCACTCATTCACAAGAGAAGGTTTCCCTTTGATTAGTTGGGAATAAAAAATAAATGTAAAATGAAAGGCTTATCCAATTCCTTTTGCCTTAGCTTCTATACGAGGTAACATCACATTAGTTTTACTGAAGCAGTTGGATGTGCTTTACAGCGGGTAAAAAAATGTTTATAATACTAAATAAGACAAAATTTTACCTTTGTTTAAAGACTCGATTACTCTTTGTTTAAATGTTGTCTGAGGGCTCTCTCTTCCCACTCTAAGCTGCACTGATGGCGGGTGATTAAATGAGTCTTAAAGACCAAAAGCTAAGTTGGACCAGCTCATATCAGTAACATTATGGAGTACTTTCCTGTCCAATTGCGCTGTCATATAAGTTTACACAAATCATTTATATTTGATATCAAGTGTGTGGCCGCATCTACACTTAAAGCTTTTTCGGGTAAAAACGACAATTGAATCGGTGTGGCTTCGTTAAAGTTTTTTATCTCTAAATCGCTTCGAACCAATTGGTGCTAGTTTCGTCACCAAACTTCATTACCTCGACATTTTTGCCAAGAGCCTTATTGTTTTCGTCCCCCATGAACTCCAATTTAAAACAGCTAATATATATGCAGGATGTTTCTTGTCACTTATGGACACTCGTCGCGCCCAAGGAAATATTCCATCATTATTTATACTTGATTACCATATCAGCTGTCCTTTTAAGACAAGTTTTCGACCCAGCATAATTTAAAACCGGAGTGATATTCACGCCAACATCGAAAACTTAAATGCAATTCAAGACAATTGTGCGCGGATTTTTTTTTTTAGTTTTAAGAAGCTGATGTTTTGCTTTTAAAAGCAGTGCCTCATTACGTTAAATCCATCAGCGTTGCTTTCATAACGACCAGTTTGTGTTTAAAGAGCAGCTTTAATCAATTTCTTATGGAAAGCTTTAAAGCAATTTAAGAGAATCGTGCGATGAGTTTTTTGAGTTAAAGTAGCCCATGTTTTGTTTATAATAGCAGAGCCTAATTGCTTTACATGCAAAGAAAGTGGAAATGACAGAAAGTTCTGTTGTCAAACTGTGTCTGAATATTTAAGACAAAAAGCCTTTTTTTATTTACATTTGCGGCTGTAGCTTATTAGTAATCAAAAAAAAATATGTGGTGATATTGTCACGCACAGTTCTCGTAAATTATTGACGGTAAATTTATTTGACTCTGAATAAGGCTGGCTTGTACGTTTTTTATCTAAATATCGCCACTTAGGTAAATGCAATGTTTCATAAATTCGGTGTTTCATTCATAATAGAAATAAGATTTATGGGGTCCCTATGAAGCAAGCAACTGGTAACTTTTATTGGGTTAATGCCAGTGTATTCTAAAGTAATTCTGTAACCGCCTTTAAATCCTTTTTCCTCGCCTTTCCCATCGATAAAATATCGTCCTCAGTGCTTTAATGAAATTCTGTGATAAAAGAACGTCTCCTCGCCCCACCGAAGGAAGGTTCTTTATGTATCCCTCTCAGATATACTTTATGGTAAATATCTTGTCCATTCTGGTTTTTTTAAAAGTTCTCATTCGCCCGAG